GGGGGGCTGCTGGGCTCCCTGTGGAGGGGGTGGCAGTGCTGCATCTCAGCTTTCGACTGCCTGCTCCCCTCAGCACCCTGCAGCCTTCCTCTGCCCACGAATGAATCACCTTCTGTCCCTCCAGCCACAGAGCTTTCCTTGGAACTTGCCCAGACAGGCTTGGGTGAGAAGTGAGATCATGATGAGACTATCAGATGCCTTTTGGACAAAGGTAGCAAAAACTGAAGCGACCAGTGTGCTGCTCTGCAGACAGAGGCAGGTGGGGGGAACCTGCTGCAACACCCCTTTTAAAAAGCAGAGTGCAGGATCCAACCTTCAGGGACTCTCAGCTCTTGTTGCCAACTGCTCCCAGAGCGCAGCCGCCCTTTTCAGTGCCTTCCCCAGCTCTTTCCAGCCGCTGCAGCTGTCCACCTGCCAGCCCCCTGGCATTGCTACTCACCCAGTGCAGAGATGGAGCTGGGGGACATTCCCCACTGCCTGCACCTCCTGCCTGTGAGTGCAGCTGCATGCCAGTGTGAGGCCTTCCGCTGTGCCCCCAACTCCGCAGGCACCTGGGAGGATTTGTGTCGCCTTCTCTGCAGTGGCAACAAACCCGTGAGAGATGCCTCATATCCGAGATGCCCGCATCCTGGGCTTGGGGCTTAGCAGCTGGGTGATGAGTTGGGCAAAGCCAACAACCCCAGTCAGGAAGAAAACCAGCCAAATGGAGCTGCGCACAGGGCTGCTGCCATCTGCTTCCAAAGGGAGGCAGCGGGGGTGGTTCAGCCACTTTTGGGGTGTCTCTTTGGCTGCCTCGTCCCTGCTCCAGTGCACTGCTGCCCCCGTCCATCCAAACCCTGATGCACTGTGATGGCCAAAGGCACTGAAGCACAGCTGCCAAAGTGCTGCAGCAGGCAGGGGAGAATTGGTTATTAAATTAACTAATGCAAGATATTTAAATTTTTTATTAAATCCACATCTGTGATTTTGGAGGTCTCCTAGCTTTGACCCTTGCTCTGGAGAAGAGACTGTGAAGAAGATGCAGGGCTCTCCTCCAGGCATGTGTTCTCTGCCTGCAGCAGGACCGAGTAAGCGCAGGTGGGGGGCTGGGGGACACCGGCTGATCGTGTGGTGTTTAATGGCTGGGCATGTGCCTTGTCACCCATAGACAAGCCAGGCACAGGTGTCAAAGGGATGTAAGGGGAGATACCAGAGGTCACAGCATGGAGTCAGTGTCAGAGGCAGCAAGTGGGCTTGATACCGTGGCAGTCAGGAAATGCTGCAGCTGGTGCCGTGTTTGTGTTTCTGGGTCTGTGCCTGGAGGAGGGTGAGAGGCCAGGCTGCCGGGCTGGGGCTGCTGGAGGCCATTACCTGCCTTCACCAGGACCCCCACCAGTGCCCAGCTTGGCTGGCTGCCACAGCGGCCCACTCCTGTTCAGGGGGGATGGCAGGGTGGTGGAGACTGCTTTCCTGACACCCCATTCCTGCAGGCACAGTGAGGTGAGCAGCATGGCCTCCCATCACAGTGTATGGGGATCCTGGGCAGGGCAGAGCCCTGTGTACCCCAGCCAGGCTCTGGGACACCTCCTGTTTTGTGGCCACAAGCACAGCTGGACCAGGGAGCTGCCCCAGGGGCTTCATCCCTGCCTGAGCTGGGAAGAGAGCATCTGTAGGACTGTCAGCCTTTCTGGGAAAGGCTGCCCAGTAGGACAGAGGGAGCCAGCCCATGGATCCAGCCAGCTTCCCACTCCCTATATCTCCAAAATATGTTTCCCATCTCTTGACCTGTTAAATTACCACCTGTGGGCAGCTCAGCCTGTGCTGCTGACCTGTGGAGGAACAAAGTGGACGAGAACACGTCCTTGCAGGAAAAGAGGAGGGCAGGGGGCAGCTGGGCTCTGGGCAGAAGGTCCAGCTGTCTGCAGAAAAGCCTTCCAGCAGAGCTATTCCCAGCACCTGCCAGGGTGGCTTGAAGCCCTGGGCATGCAGAGCTGCCTACCATGAAAGGGAGAAAGGTGGCAGGGCTGGAGCAGAGAGTGGCTGGATAAAGCGGAGCAGCAGCAGCACAGCAAGGCAGGGATGCAGCCAGGTGACCTGGAGCAGAAGGGCCTCCTGCACAGCAGCTGGAGGCATTATTTGCTTAATAGGCATTGAAAAAGGCAAAAGTTTGGAGTCTCTGATTAAACTGGCACTCCCACAGCGTTAAGCTTCAGGTTTGCACAAAGCAGAGCCAGTAACTTGTTTCCCTGGCACTGGGACTCAGGCCACTGCAGCTACTGGGGCTTTTACTCCCCAGGTGATAACACACGAGGGTGCCTGTTGTCACCCACCTGCTTCCCATCTGCCATAGTGTGTACTTTAGCCCTTCTGTCTCAGGAAGCACTGGAAAGCCAAAGTATTGCTGCATTCCCCCTTCTGATGCCCCAGATTTTGCTACTGCAGAACTTACTAGCTGCACAAGAGGAATGAACCTACACCCTCACTTACTAAGCAGCCCCTCCCCCAGTGAGCATAAAGCTTATTTCATACTTTACCAGAGCTAAATTAGGCCAAAAAGCTCTGCAGACTACTCACTGCCCAGCCTTAGTGCACATTGTAGGAGCAGGAGACAAAAGCAGTAGCTTAGCACCCCCCTTTGAAAAACTGAAGTTTGGCATCTGCTGAAGGGAAAGGGGCTGGAGGAAAACAGGCTTCCCGCAGGGGAGAAGCCCTCACCCTCTGCTTTGAGGCTCTCTACCAGAGCCAGCATCTCACCCTGATCTCAGCTCCCCCTGGGAAAGATCAGAGAAGAGGAAAGTGGTTTGACGGTTATTTTTACTGCAAAGCCAGGAATCAGTCCCAAACCGCCATCTGAAATGATGCTTGCTGGAATGACCCGGCCACCCCTGAAATGGCTGGAATCCCCTGCACAGGAGGTGTGAGTCCACATCTTGATTTTTTTTTTTTTTTTAGCCAAATGCTGACTTAAAACCAGGAATCAGTCCCATTTGGATCAATCAGTGGCCAGAGTGGCTTCAGTTATACCAGAAGCAGCTTTGCTTGATGGGCAGACACCCAAACACCACACCCCTCCCAGGGCATCAGCTGGCAAAGACGCAAATCTCCAAAGAAACACAGATGGGGCTGGCCTGGCTGCAGGCTCCTGCAGGACAGATCCTGCCACCAGCCCCTTGCACCACGCTGCTCTGCTGCACCCCAATGATGGCACAAGCCAATCCAGCAACCCTCACCGCACACTCAGGATCTCTGCCACTGTTTGCCATGCCCCACTAGCAAGGGCATGTTGCTATGTGCAGTCTTCAGAGGTCTGACTCCTTTCCACCTCTGTCATTAAATCAACAATCCAAGTGTTTGTTACAAAGTGTTATTTATTAGAATGTTACATTGCACTTAAAAAATAAGGGAGGTCTGACCCTGTCATCTTGACCTACATGAAGGATGCAGGGCCAGACCTATAATAAATATAAATACTATGTACAGTTTATCTAAAATAAATACATAATTTAAAATTAAAAATATCTTGTTAAATAGCTGTTACCCTCCCACCCCTCCTGCACCTAAGAAAGCCCTGAGCCTGGTCTCCTTGCCCTTCACAGTTTGTTCCTTAGCATGCACCGCAGTGGACAGAGAGCTGCTGGAGAGCCCCTCTGCCGCCAGCTGGCTGGTCCCTCCTGCCTCCATGCAGCCACCTGGCCAGTGAGCACCTCTCTCGAGCCCCCTTCATCCCAGAGATGGCCATGAAGCTCCCTGCAGTGCTGCCGCTGCCCATCCAGCCCCAAAGCAGGTGCTGTCCTGCTGCTCCAGTGAGCTCCTGCCATGCTGTGGGCTCCCAGGGACGGCGCTGGCTCTGCAGCTCTTGCCTCTTCCAGGAGGTAGAAGTGCATTAGTGCTGACCACTGCAAGACAGTGGCAGGAGAGCTCACAACATGGCCCTGGGCCACTCTGCCTGTGGAGCAGTTCCTGCATGGCAGGGCCAAGGTACCTGTCCCACCCAGCCCAGCGGGAGAGCCCTCACAGCCACCAAAGCTCCAGCAGCAGTAGCTGCTACTCACCACCTTGTGGGGCTGGACCCAGGAAGATGGGAGCCAAGATGCTGGGGAGCAGTGGCTAAGCATTCCACCCCATGTCCACCATGCTTCTCTTCTAGGGGCCACAGCACTTTTCCCACTGGACACATCCACCCCAATAATCCCCAGGGCAGAGGGGACAGTGATAAAACCTTGCGCTGCATCCCCTTCCCCAAAATTTAACTCCTATAAACAACTAAAAAAAAATCCCACCCCAACACTATTACCAACATTACAGGAATTCTTTGAAGGCATTACTTCATCCTCACAAAGAACAAAGATTTTTCTTTTAAAAAAAAAAAAAAAAGAGAAGTAGCTGTAA